CTATATATTTTTTTGTAAAGCGTACCGTTTAAAAACTGTTTTCCAAATTTTGAAAAGTTTTTTTCGCAACGTCTAAAGGTCAGCGAAATTGACTTTTTAAAACTGGTACTTATCATTTTAATTATTATTTTTATTTATCTTCGTATGGAATGTGATGATCCTAGTTTAAGAGGGTAATAATAAATAAGTGGTTTTATTTTTAAATCTCTGGTTGATATCCGTAGATTCAAAAGAGGCGTTTACTTTTTTTGAAATATCACTTATTATGCGGGTTATTCTTTAACCTTTTGTGACTAAAAATAATGGTAAACAATAAATTATTGAAAAATAATGAAAATATTAGTGTAAATCCTTCTTTTTTTTGCATGGTTCTAAAAAATTTTTTTAAATTTAGATTTCTTATTATTATATAGTTATTATTTAAGATAATTTTTAATTTCATGTTTAATTAAATAGTAGATGAATAACCTATCCACGCTTTGATATAACTAAAAAATTGAAGGAAATTATTTTATTTATGTTATATTTTAATGTTTACTTTTATCATGTACTATTGGGTGAGATTGCGATTAATGACTTTTATTTGAATTTTTTGTGTTAATTTTAGATGATTCAGAAATATTTAAGAAAAACAAATTAAAAAATCTCTGATAACAAAATGATTAATCTAATTGACACCATCTAAAGCCAAAAATTATAAGAATTAGTCATCTCTCCTGGACATTCAAAGGGAGATGGCCACTTGGGGATGCATGAATAATCTCTAGAAATCATTAGTTAGAAGTTTTAAATGATTGAATTTCATTTATTAGAATTTTCTTTTAGCAGAATTTCATTTTTTTCGAATTTTTGTTTAATCGATTTTAAATTGACCCGAATATTTACATTAACAGATTTATAAATACTCGAATTTTTATTTATGAGAATTATCATTTAACACAATTTCCATTAATGGTACTTTCCATTAAAATAAATTCTTATTTATACGAATTTTTATTTACAACAACTCTTATTTTACATTATTTCTACTTAGTCTAATTTTGAAAAGACAGAATTTCCATTTCAGCGAATCTTTATTTGTCCAAATGTTTATTTTCATATTATCATTTGACAGAATTCTTAAAAGAACGAATGCTTATTTGTGCAAATTTGCAAATGTCCGACATAACAACATGCCGAAAGATTTCGGCGCCAGTTTCAAAACTGACCAATCACAATTTTCTTAACATTTTCTAATTGGTCAGTTTTGAAACTGGCGCCGAAATCTTTCGGCATGTTGTTATGTCGGCCATTTGCAAATTCCCACAAATGAGCATTCGTTCTTTTAAGAATTCTGTCAAATGATAATATGAAAATAAGCATTTGGAAAATAAAGATTCGCCGAAATGGAAATTCTGTCTTTTCAAAATTAGACTAAGTAGACATAATGTAAAATAAGAGTTGTTGTAAATAAAAATTCGTATAAATAAGAATTCATTTTAATGGAAAGTACCATTAATGGAAATTGTGTTAAATGATAATTCTCATAAATAAAAATTCGAGTATTTATAAATCTGTTAATGTAAATATTCGGGTCAATTTAAAATCGATTAAACAAAAATTCGAAGAAAATGACATTCTGCTAAAAGAAAATTCTAATAAATGAAATTCAATCATTTAAAACTTCTAACTAATGATTTCTAGAGATTATTCATGCCTACTTGCCTTATTACAAAATTAAAAATTTAAGATTGTTTTGAAATTAAAATATTTTATTAATATTAATTTTAAAGTTAAGTGTTCAATGTTTAATTATCAAGAAAAGTTTAGAAAAAATCTCTTTTTATTATTTTTAAAATCCTTTCTATATAATTTCTATATAATTCTATATTTTTTTTTTTCTTTTCTACTTGTTTTTTTTAATACTGTAAACTAAATTCTTTTCACATTTAAAATATATATGGGCAATTCCACGTGAGATTTTAGTCGACCTCTTAAAATTCGCCAAAAATATTTTTTTTCTATTCTACATCGAAAAAAAACAGATACGTATTTTTTTATTTTTGTTTAATTGTCCAAATTTTCGAGTTATGAATTTTCGAAATTTTGGACTTTTAATTGTAGACCTATATTCTGTAGCTTATAAGTCCGAAAATATTGAGTTTAAAAAAAAGTTGTCAAAGAATGAAAGTTGTAGTTTTCTTTCGACTTTTAAGAAATGTAAACAAAAAATTTTTTTTTTAATTGTTTATTAAAAAAAAATTTTTTTTTATAAAAAAATTAATTTTTTTTAACTTTGGGCCAGATTTTTTTTTGTTTTTTTTTAATTTATTTATACCTTGTAATATAGAGAAGATTTTCCAGAAAGTCCCGAAATGGGCCTGATGTGTTAAATGAGTTTTAAAACATTTTCAAAAATCACTTGCAAGCATCACAGTGGGATTTTTTTTACAATTAACTTTTTAAAACTGTCTACAGCGTAGACCCTTTAATTTAAAACAAAGAACACTCAAATAGATTAAAAATTATACGCTGTAGACAGTTTTAAAAAGTTAATTATAAAAAAATCCCACTGTGAAGCTTGCAAGTGATTTTTAAAAATGTTTTAAAACTCATTTAACACATCAGGCCCATTTCGGGACTTTTTGGAAAATCTTCTCTATATTATAAGGTATAAATAAATATTAAAAAAATGAAAAAAAATCCGGCCCAAAGTTAAAAAAAATTAATTTGTTTATAAAAAAAAAATTTTTTTTAATAAAAAATTAAAAAAAAAATTTTTTGTTTACATTTCTTAAAAGTCGAAAGAAAACTACAACTTTCATTCTTTGACAACTTTTTTCTAAACTCAATATTTTCGGACTTATAAGCTACTGAATATAGGTCTACAATTAAAAGTCCAAAATTTCGAAAATTCATAACTCGAAAATTTGGACAATTAAACAAAAATAAAAAAAATACGTATCTGTTTTTTTTCGATACAGAATAGAAAAAAAATATTTTTGGCGAATTTTAAGAGGTCGACTAAAATCTCACGTGGAATTGCCCATATATATATATATATATATATATGTTACCGGTAAAACCCGAAGTCCAGGCATTTTGCGAAATGCCTAGGCAAATCGGGAAATACCTAAAAGTGGCCAGGAAATTCGAGTTTTACCTAGAAATTTTAGGCATTTCTCAAATTGCCTAGGTATTTCGCGAAATACCTAGTCATTTCGCGAAATGCCCAAGTCGATTTAGGCAAAATGAAAAGTTGATCATTTGTAAGCTGCGCATACTAATGTAAACAGATTGTTTACAAAATTATTAGTCTATTACACTGTTCGACAAAATATTGCTACAAGAATACGTCTCAATTTTGAGAAAAACGGGGTCAAAGTATCAAAATATGCCATTTTTAGCACTTTTTGAAGCACTATAAAAAAGAACGCGATGTGATAGAAAGCTCAAATATGTCTTAAATAAGAGCTCGAACCCTCAACTTTAACATCCAAAAGCAAAAAGCCAAGTAGAAATAACTTAAAATTGTGGGGAACAACTTTTTATTAATTTACCCTATATGATCGCTAACTAAAATAATAGCTGATGGGCGCGCACGCGGTAAAAAGTTGTTCACCACAATTTTGAGTTATTTCTACATAGTTTTTTGTTTTTAGATTTTAAAGTTGAGGGTTCGAGCTCTCATTTAAGACATATTTGAGCTTTCTATCACGTCGCGTTCTTTTTTTTATAGTGCTTCAAAAAGTGCTAAAAATGGGATATTTTGACACTTGGACCCCGTTTTTCTCAAAATTGAGACGTGATGGGACAATTTAACTTACAGATTCGTAATCTACGGCGAAAATCCCGTAAGTTTGACATGCTGCAACAAATAACCAGCAAAAAATATATGTTCACAATTAAGGTTTCAATAAATTTTTCAATTTGCCTAAATCGACTTCGGCATTTCGCGAAATGCCTAGGAAATTTACGAAAATGCCTAGGCAATTCGGAAAATACCTAAAAATGTCTAGGAAATTTGAGTAATACCTAAGATTTTAGGTATTTCCCGATTTGTCTAGGCATTTCGCAAAATGCCTGGACTTCGGGTTTTACCGGTAACATATATATATATATATATGTAATACGGCGGTGATTGTGCGACCCCTACTTTTTTATGACTTGTAAATAACTTTTAACTTAAAAAATATAATAACTAAATATTTTTCTCTTTCATTTTCAATAAATCTGATGCAATTTTGAAAAAAATGACACCTTAACGACAAAAAATGTTAATTTTTCAATTAGATATTTAACAAAAACCGCATTTTCAGTGATTTGCCTAATTTCTTTATATCATCTAAAGATTTATTAACGTTTTTTAACGTTTATAAAACAATTTTAATCATTTTTTTTTATAGAATTGAGATTTTTTACAATAATTTATTTACATACGTTTCTTTAGAAAATGTAAGTTACGACAGTTCAATAAAAAAGTTTAAAAATTTTAAAAGTATTTTTACAACTGAAAAATAATTTTTAAAACTCAAAATTCAAAGTTTAAACATTTTTTGAAATAACGCATTTTACTAATTCATTTTTATCATCTTAATAGTAATCACAATTTTTCGAATTTTTTGATACAACTTTAATCAATTACACTTTCTAATGGAATGTACGCAGATAAATTCTTTTAAAAAATCTCAATTCTACAAAAAAATACGATTAAAATGAATCTATAAACTTTTAAAAAAACGTCAATTTCTACAGAAGATATAAAAAAAATTAGGAAAATTACTGAAAATGGAGTTTTTGTTAAATATCTGATTGAAAAATTAACATTTCTCATTTCTTCTTCTCTCACTAATTTTTATAAAAAAACATCACCCTGTTTGATAAACAAATATTTTAGTACAATTTTGTACACTTAATGAAGTATTGTATAATGTGGAGCTCTTATCTTTTAATATTTAATTGTTAATATATGTATATAGTTAATGAAAAGAAAGGATTAAAAACTTTCATACATAAATTACCTTCTCTATTGGTGGTGAATGAACTTGGAAGATTCTGTGTTGTTGGGCTTCTGCATCTAAGAGAATCCTCTTCACTTGGTGCTCGATCTAAAAATTAAAAAAAAACCTTGAAAAACTTTCATGTCTATTAACTTTCTTATTTTTTTTTGTTTTTTTTTCTATTTTATGACCTGATTTTGGACAAATTTTGAATAGTATTTTCAATTTAATTTATAACATATTAAATTATCGGATTGGTTTAAAAAATGATAGTTTTCCTATATAGTATATTGAACAGAAGAGCATCGGCCCAAAAAAATATACAGTTATCTTCTTTTTTTAACATTAATCAAAAGTGGAATTATTCATACCGAAAATAAAATCAATTCCATAGAACGGTGGAAAATAAATAATTTCGAAATTCATACGAAAAACTGTCATTAACAATAGTCGTTATGTTATGGGTAAAGAAAGTATTATTTTTGAAATTTTTTCTAAAAAATGTGGAAGCAACTTTTAAAGTCATAAATAACTTGTAGGACCTCAAAAATCGCTTTGATTCACGTATTTTTTAGCCTAATTCTATCAGAAATACGAAATTGTTGTTATTTTAAAAACCAAAAATTTAAAATAAAAAAAAATTTATGGTAAAAATAATTTTATAAAAGCAGAAGTGTTTAAGGGGTTAAACCACTCTAGAGCGTCAAAAAGAGGTTCTAATTTCAACATTTTTTTAAAAGAAAAGTTTAAAAGTAATGAAAAATATGTTTACATATCTCTATCAGGTACACTTTAAAGAAAAAAAAATATACTTTATAAATTTTTTTTGTTTAAAAACAGCAGCTGTACATGTACGTGATGGAAACCCTTTTTAAAAAGAATTCCTTCGCGGCCGGAAAGGTTTTTGGTACAATTTTCATCCTAGAGCAGAAAACAATTTTTTTTCTATTTTTACATCTCAAAAGCTGGAGAAAGACGTAGGGGATTTTTTTTAAATCCATTTTTGCAAAAATGGTGAACATTTTATGGAAAAACTGAGTTTTTGACTGAAAAAAATAGGCACTAAATTGTTTATAACTAAAAGAATATGCAACATAAAAAAAATCCCCTACGTCTTTCTCTAGCTTTTGAGATGTAAAAATAGAAAAAAATTTGTTTTCTGTTCTAGGATGAAAATTGTACAAAAAACCTTTCCGGCCGCGAAGGAATTCTTTTTACAAAGGGTTTCCATCACGTACATGTACATCTGCTGTTTTTAAACAAAAAAAATTTATAAAGTATATTTTTTTCTCTTTAAAGTGTACCTGATAGAGATATGTAAACATATTTTTCATTACTTTTAAACTTTTCTTTAAAAAAAATGTTGAAATTAGAACCTCTTTTTGACGCTCTAGAGTGGTTTAACCCCTTAATGTAATAATAAAAAAATAAAATAAATTGATCGAAAAAAATCTCCATGAGGAAGCTTACCTTCAGGTTTCATTCTGTCAGCTATGAGGCAGTAAGGAGGTGGTGGCGACTCTGAAATAGAAAATTTGTCTTTATTTATTACCCCTCTAAATTTAAATAATTTTAAAATGAATTATTTAAAAGCAAATCTCATTCATTCATTTAAATATTTATATCTTAGTTCTAATTATACTTTGGAGTAGAAGGGGGTAATGTAGCACTTTTTGCTTTTGAATTAGTAAATTTTACTAAAGAATTAGTAGAAATGACTATTTATTAGTAAAATTTACTAATTTAAAAACAAAAAGTTAGTCACTAATTAAAATTTGTAAACATTTTTACTAATTCAAATTTAGAGAGTGAAGTCGTATTTTGCCGCCGATTTTGACCAATGAAGGCTCTTTGGGAAGATAATTGATAAAAATAATTAATAAATAAATTTTCTTTTGTGTTAATCTTTGAGCACCAAATTATAGGCTACTAGGAAATGTATTTAAGCGACGTTTGGAACGCATTAAATTGTTTACGCATACGAACAACTACACAGTAAAAAGTAATTTTTAATTTAAGGTCAGTCTTAAATTCAGTACTGTCTGTTATAATGTTAAATCATATCAAATCCATTGCGTAAATTCAGCATTGACTGTCTTAAAAATGTTGCATTTTAATTTAAGATTGCTTTCCTGACTTAATAAGACTTTCTTTTTACTGTGTATTTTTGAAAAAATAGCACTATAAATGAGCAATAACAGGGCTCGGATTGTGCGACTTTTTCGACTTTTTTCGACTTTTCTAAGGAAATGTGACTTTTTTCGACTTTTTTGTGAAAAAATGCGACTAATCGACTTTTTCGAGATTTTGTTTAGTAAAATGCGACAGAAATTTTTTAAAAAATTTTTAATTTAAAGGAAAAAGTTTGAGTTAAAAAAATGTTCTGTTACATTTATTTACGAATTTCTTTCAAATTTTTCGAAAACATCAATAATTTCTTTTTTAAATAAATATTTAATTATTATTTTTCCATAGGAATTAAAATTTTTCAAAAGATTCAAATTCAAACCTACAGGCACACCTCGCTACGGCGGAAAGCAATTAGACGATTCCGCCGTAGAGAGGTTCATTAAAATGCTATTAGTGAGTGAACGTTCAGGGATGTATCAACTATTTTAAATCATATGGTCTTTAAATATGAAATAGAAGTTATGATAATTTATTAATAACCTTATTTAAAAATATGTATTAAAAATCATTGAATTCTTGCAAAGAATTTTAGAATAATTGAATTCCTTCGCAGAATTTTATTCTTTATAAAAATAATCGAATTCTCGCGAAGAATTTAATTAAAAAATTTATAAAAATCTTGATTAAATTCTTTTGAAGAATATCTTTAAACTTTTTTAAAATAATGGAGTTTCTTTAATAGTTATAATTGAAAATTTTGAAAGTAATTGAATTATACAAAGAATTTTTTCAACTTTTTAAAATAATCGTGTCTGTTAATAGGTAATTTTAAATATTTGATTTTTGAAGTTTATTAAAATTGTATTGAAAATAATTGAATTCCTCAGGAGAAATCACATACTTTGATTTGTTATTCTATTTATTTTATTATTGTCCATGTTTATTTTTTATAATATATAAAATATATCACAAAATAAACAAAAATTATAAATCAATTATAAATTAAATAATTTAAATAAAAAAACATCCATATAAAAATTACAATTCGAAACTTTTCGGCCCTGAATTTCATGGCACTCACACAGTCACAACTCTCACTGATATAATCCCTTCTACTTCTACCTGGCGAGTTTCCGCCGTATAGAAGTCCGCCGTAGCGAGGTTTGCCTGTATTTAAAATTAAACAACTTATAAAAAATTGTTATAAAACATGAAGAAATCGATCACTCCGAGTCTTCGACTCGGAGGAATCGATATCTTCATGTTTTATAATAATTAAAGATGACCGAGTGATAAAATCATTATATTTTATATTATAAGACTTCAAAAAAAAAATTTTTTATTATTTTTTATGAATGTAGGAAATTATTTGCTGATTAAACTTAAACGTTTCCTTAATTATTTTTTATAAAAATATATGAATTATTGGGAAAAAATTTATGAAACATTAGTAAGTAATTGAATTTTGCAGAAGAATTTTGATATTTACAAAGATAATTGAAATTTTCAGGAGAATTTAAAAAAAAATTAGAAAATAATTTAATTTCTGCCAAGAATTTTCTTACTTTTTGAAGAGAATTGAATTTTGCAAAGAATTTTAACAGAACTTTTGAAAATAATTAAATTTCTAGGATGAATTTTATTATTTATGAAAATAATTAAAATTTTGACGAGAAATTTTAAAAAAATTAAAAATAATTGAATTTCTAGGGTGAATTTTATTATTTATAAAGATAATTGAAATTTTAACAAGAATTAAAATTTTTGCAAATAATTGAATTTTAGAGAAGAATTTTATTACTCTCGAAGATAATTGAAATTTTGAACAGATTTTTTTAAAAATGTTTAAAAGTAATTGAATTTTGCAGAAGAATTTTGATATTTACAAAAATAATTGAAATTTTGAGGAGAATTTAAAAAAAAATTGGAAAATAATTTAATTTCTGCCAAGAATTTTCTTACTTTTTGAAGAGAATTGAATTTTGCAAAGAATTTTAACAGAACTTTTGAAAATAATTAAATTTCCAGGATGAATTTTATTATTTATAAAGATAATTAAAATTTTGACGAGAAATTTAAAAAAAAATTTAAAATAATTGAATTTCTAGGATGAATTTTATTACTTTTAAACATAATTGAATTTCTAGAATGAATTTTATTATTTATAAAGATAATTTAACTTTTGATAAGAATTTTATTTAAAATTTTTGCAAATAATTGAATTTCAGAGAAGAATTTTATTACACTCAAAGATAATTGAAATTTTGAAAAGATTGTTTTAAAAATGTATAAAAGTAATTGAATTTTGATATTTATAAAAATAATTGAAATTTTGAAAATTATTTAATTTCTGCCAAGAATTTTATTACTTTTGAAAATAATTGAATTTCTAGAATGAATTTTATTACAATTCTTTGCAAATAATTGAATTTCAGAGAAGAATTTTATTATTCATAAAGATAATTAAAATTTTGAACAGATTTTTTTTAAAATGTTTAAAAGAAATTGAATTTTGCAGAAGAATTTTGATAATTATAAACATAATTGAAATTTTGAGAATTTAAAAAAAAAATTTTGAAAATAATTGAATTTCTGCAAAGAATTTTCTTACTTTTTAAGATAATTGAATTTTGCAAAGAATTTTATCAGAACTTTTGAAAATAATTAAATTTTTATGATGAATTTTATTATTTATAAAATTTTGAATATAATTGAATTTATGCGAAGAATTTTATTACTTTTGAAAATAATTGAATTTTAGAGAAGAATGTTATTAAATTTTTTTTTTAAAAATTGAATTTCGTAGAAGAATTTTATTATTTATAAAAATAATTGACATTTTAAAGAGAATTTTAAAAAAATTTTAATAATACATAATTAAAATTTTGCTATGAATTTTATTAAATTTTTTAAAATTTTATTCCGGATTGTTTGATATTAATGTATCTGTTGTCGAGAAATGTGATTTTTTTACAATTTTGACAATTTTTTGTTTTCTTTTTGTCGATTTTTTGATTTTTTCTAAGATTTCATGCGACTTTTTTTCGACTTTTTCGGAAATTTTATGTGACTTTTCGTGACTTTTGTTGTAAAATGCAACTAAAGCGACTTTTTTGAGTCTTAAAGACGATCCGAGCCCTGCAATAATTAATGGGACATTAAGAATTCGTTTTTATGAAAGTGGTTTCGACAGGGTAAACACGATTTACTAAATATTTACTAAATACATTTGGTTTTCAATTTTAGTTCTTTTTAGAAAATACCTTTCTTTGTAACTTAAACAAGTAACATTATTTATTAGTTATGCTTTTTTAACGTGCAATTTTTAAATTCTTAAGTTACTCAGTTTTATTAATGTCCAATTGCAAAATTGGTCCAATTGCAAAATTAAAAATGTCGGATTCAATATGGCGAACGAATGTTGTGAAAATTCGTTATTTTTGAAAAATTTTTTTAAAAGATTGATGAATTTTCATAAAAAAAATTTCTTATGGGTTTTTGGTGTTGTTGAATACGAATATTTTGTCAAATTTTTAAAATTTTAAATTGAGGTTTTATTATGGCAGACGGCTTTTTAAAAATCATATGCAATTCATTTAAAAATTGTTATTTCAGGTGTCCAAAACCCCCATGTTAGTACATTGCATAACAAGTGTGAACTAGCGGCTTTTTTGGAACGAACGCTAAGTTTTCGTAACGAGTTTTATTATTATTATTAATAATTAATAAATAAATACAAATACTAAGAGTTTCTAACCTTCTTTTCGTGATCGCTCGTGTGAAAGTTCCGTTTTTATACATTAATGATATTATTTTCATTAATACGTCGAAGTACATGACTCGTTACGCAAAAGTAGCGCGAGTTCCAAAATGCCGCTACACGTGTTGCCCACGATACTTTTCATAACAAAATCATAAAAAGGCGTTGACACTGAAAAACTTATTTAATTTAAAAGAATGTTGAGAAACGGGTACATAAGATTCGGAACACAGATCCACTGTCAAGCGTACGCTACTAGTTGATCGCGTGGGGGTGTTCGGGGGGTCTCCCCCAGATGGGGTCCAGGGGCGGAGCACCGATCAGGGAGTTGGAGGGGGCAAAGTCCCCAGACTACAAAAAACCAACTCAAAAGAATAATAACAATTTTCGACATTTCGAATAATCGCATTTTATAATACCCAAGTCACCGGACACGTTAGGGGCGAAGCCCCCTGAAACCTAGTCATGTACTTCGACGTATTAATAAAAATAATATCATTAATGAATAAAAACGGAATTTTCACACAAGTGATCGCGAAAAGGAGGTTAGAAACTCTTAGTATTTGACAGATGCTGTGTTGCAGCTTTAAGACACGGTAAAAGTAGGTAACGGAACAAAAACATAATCACG